TAAATCTAAATACTGTTCCAAACTAAGAGGAAGATGTTTATCTTTTGGTTTTTTGTTAGATTTTTTTTTTACATTATTAAATGCTTGCCCCAATAAGTGTAGTTACTGTCAATATAGAAAGATATTACAGTATTATTGACTATATTCTCTATGCTGTACTTTCATCCCTGTGACTAATTTACATGATAATTGAGATTTTGTGTCTCTATCCCCCCCTTACCTGTTTCACCTGCCCTCCCCATGGTAACCACCAGTCTCTTCTCTTTGTGTCTATTTCCATTTGTTGGATGTTTTAAAATTCAGAGTAAATTTAAGACCTAGGTTTGTTACTGTTATTTAATCACTGCTTTGCTTCCTAAGCAGTATAGAGCAAGAAGTTTTTAATGGAGAAAGTATCATGTTAAAATCTTGTAGCAGTAAAATTTAATTCAACCAGCTAGTAATAATTGATGGTACACTAGTTCTAGCATTTTATATTAGAAAGTGTTTCTCTTAAAATCTCACTGTTTTTATTTGCTTGGTTGTGTGGCCTAGGTATTCCACCACCATACCCGTATTCTAAACAGTCTTATGAAAGCCTTTTCTTAATATCTACCCATCATCAGTCAACAGTCAGGTGGGAATTTTGTTTGCTAGAAACAGCTAATATGATGAAGGTAGTTGTTTATATTTTAAAAGTTACCTTTTGTGGGTGTTAGATGTAGGGACGTTTGTGAGTGTTGCAATCTTTAGGGCAAAATGAGTTTAGATTGGATATATTAGTTATTAAGTGATTGTATTTTGTAAGATTTTCCAGGGATTGGTTCCTTAATCATGCCATTTGATGCCTCCACATTATTAATTCTGTCTAATGGAGTTTTGAGATGGGGGAGAGAGGAGCTGTGAAAAGGATAGGGGAAAAGCATACAGATATTGAAGAAAAGTGGATCCCTTCTCAATCCACGATTATTTGAAATGAAGTCTGGACAGTTAGGAAAATACTTGATCTGCAGCTTTTCAGGCATGCATTCTAGATGTATCCTTCTGCATGCAGAACTGTACATGCAACTCCTCTGCACAGACCAAACTTTCTTGCAAGAAACTAATAACTAACTTTGTGGTAGGCAGTGAGATCGTAGATTCTGAGTCACAGTACAGTTTCCTGAGAGTTGATAGTAGTGTAGACTTTGAGCTCAGGACCTCTTAAGGAAAGGAAGAATGGCAATTGCAAATTTGAAAAATCTTTGCAGTGAGGATGAGATTTCCTTGCAGCATTTCTGTGACAGTCTAGAGTTAATTTTAACACAAAGCCTTAAAAACAAATTTCAGTACTAGTTGACCACAGTGAGTGACCTTTGGCCTTTCTGGGCTTCGTCTTCCGCACCAAGGTAAACAGCTCTACAACTTTCCTCTGATAAAGTTCCCTTTGCCTGAAAAATGCATTGGCTGAAAGAAAGACCACTGCATTTTTTGTATTTGTTGAATATAACTTTAAGAACAAATACGAAATCACTGATACGAGAAAAGTTAAGTTGTGGCAGTTATAGGAAGTGAATGTATCTGGTTTTTTTTGTTGTTTTTTTTTTGTATTTTGTCCCAGTTATATAAGTTGAAACGGTAAAAAGAGCTTACCTTTCCTGGCAGTGGAAATACTCTTAAGTTATAATGAGTATGACATGGACGTTTGGCCAGGTTCTTTGGGGAGTACAGGGTAGCTCCTTGTAGTGCACCTCCTTTCCTTAGAGCTTACCCTTTGGTAGTGGAAATGAGACAAACAGAAAGAGTTTCATACTTTCGGTCAGAAAAATATAAGAATGTAAAAATAGGAGACCATAAACATGACATGGCCTATCCTTAAAAAAAATAACCTTACTGAGATACAATTCACAGGTAGTACCATTCAACCAATTCAGTGGTTTTTACTAAACTCACAAGAGTTGTACAACTATAATCACTTTCTAGTACATCTTTGTACCCCCAAAAGAAAACCGTACTCATGTACAGCGTGGTGACTGCAATCAATAATACTGCATTACTTATTTGAAAGTTGCTGAGAGAGTAGATCTTAAAAGTTCTCATTACAAGAAGAATTTTGTAACTATGTATGGTAATAGATGTTAAGTAGACTTATTTGTGGTGATCATTTCACAGTACATACAAATGTTGAATCATGTTGTATACCTGAAAATAATGTAATGTTACATGTCAGTCAGTTATACCTATATTTAAAAAAAAAAAGAAAACCAAACCCATTAGCAGTAACTCCCTAGGTAGTAATTAGTCTGTTTCCTGTTTGCCTCTTCTGGACATTTCAAATAAATGGAATCATATAATATGTGGTCCTCTGTTAACGGTTTCTTTCACGTCCCCCAAGCTTCAACCATGTTGTAGTATACATCAGTTCCTTATTCCTTTTAATGGCTAAGTGATGTTCCATTTTATGAATATACCACTTTTATCCATTCATTCATTAATGGACATTTGGATTGTTTCTACTTTTTTGCCATTATGAATAACCATATAATAGTGCTATGAACATTCATGTACATGCTTTTGTGCGGACCTGTGTTGTCATTTTTTTCATGGGTGTATATCTAAGAGAGGATTGCTGGGTCATAGGCTATCTCTATGTTTAACCTTTTGAAGAACTGCCAGACTATTTTCAAGAATAACCATCATTTTACATTCCCATCAGTAATGTAGGAGGGTTCCAGTTTCTCCACATCCTCACCAACACTTGTTATTATTGTCTGTCACTTTGATTATAATAATGCTAGTGAGTATGCAGTGGTATCTCATTGCTCTGATTTGCATTTCCCCAATGGCTTATGATGTTGAGCATCTTTTCCTCTGTTTGTTGACCATTTTGTGTTTTTTTTGGAGAAATGTCTATTCAACTCCTTTGCCCGTTTAAAAATTGGATTATTTGTCTTTTTATTATTGAGTTGTAAGAGTTCTTTGTATTTTCTGATCCAAGTCCCTTATTAGAAAACAACTTAGAAATTTTTTTGATTCTGTGTGTTATCTTTTTTAATTGAAATATTGTTGGTAAACAATATTATATTGATTTCAGATGTACGGCATAGTGATTTGAAAATTATATACATTACTAAATGCTTACTGTGAAAAGTATGGTTGTCTGTTAACATAACAAAGATATGACAATATTATTGACTGTTTCCTGTGTTACACCTTTTTCCCTATGACTAATTTATTTTATAATTGAATGTTTGTACCTCTGTCTCCTTTACCTATTTCATCCATCTCCCCAGTCCCCTAAGTCCCCTAAGGCAACCACCAGTATGTACTCTGTGTTTATGAGTCTATTTCTGTTTTGTATTTTAGAGTCTACATATAAGTGAAATCATATGGTATTTGTCTTTCTCTGCCTGACTCATTTCACTGAGCATAATATCTTCAAGGTCCATCTATGTCACAGATAGCAAAATTTCATTCTTTTTCATGGCTGAGTAATATTCCATTGTATATATGTATCACATCTTTTTATCCATTCATCTATTGATGAACACTTAGCTTGCTTTCATATCTTGGCTATTATGAATAATGTGATAAATACAGACTGCCTATATCTTTTCAAATTAGTGACTTTGGTTCTTTGGGTAAATTCCTAGAAGTGGAATTACTAGGTCATATGGTATTTCTATTTTTAGTTTTTAGAGGAACCTTTGTGCTGCTGTCCATAGTAGCTGCATGAATTTACATTCTGTGATTTGTATTTTTACTCTTTTGGTGGTGTCCTTTGAAGCACAAATGTTTTTCAATTTAATGAGGTTCAGTTTATCTATTTTTTCTTTTGGTGCTTGTACTTTTGGTATTGAAGAAATCATTGCCTACCCCAGAGTCAAGCGGATTTACCTTTATGTTTTCTTCTAAGAGTTTTACAGTTTTAGCTCTTGCACATTTATCTTTTGGAGTTAATTTTGTGTATGGAGTTCATCCTCTTGCATGTGGGTATGTAATTGTCCTGGCACCATTTGTTGACTAGTTTTCCAGTTGGATTGTCTTGACACCATTGTCAAAATCATTTGGCCTTAAATGTAGCAACGTATTTCTGGACTCTCTCTTCCGTTGATCTATTATATACCTGTCTTTCTATCCCTATAGCAGTACCGCACTGTCTTGAAGTGGTAAGTTTGAAACTAGTGAGTGTAGTCATTCTGCTTTGTTCTTTTTCATGACTCTTTTGGCTATTCTTGGTATCACAATTTTAGAATCAGCTTGTTAATTTTTGTAAAAAAAAAAAAAGAAAAAAGGTGATTCAGATTTTGATAGGGATTGCCTTGAAACTTGTAGACTAATTTGGGGAGTGTCACCATCTTAATGGTATTAAGTCTTTCAATTTATGAATATAGGTAACTTTCCATTTATTTAACTCTAATTTCTTTTAATGATGTCTTGTACTTCTTTTAAATTTATTCTTACTGAAAGCTCAGATGATGGTTAGCATTTTTAGAAATAAAGTATTTTTAAATTAAATAAAAATTTATTCTTAAGTATTTAAATCCTTTTGATGCTGTTATAAATGAAATTATTCTAACATCATTTCTGGGTTTTTCATTGCTGGTGTGCAGAAGCACAGCTGAGGTTTGTTTCCTACAACTTTGCAGAACTTGTTTATTCTAATAGTTTTTTAGTATGTAGATTTTCTATATACAAGATCATATCATCTGCAAATATAGTTGTATTTCTTTCTTTCCAATCTGGCTGCCTTTTGCTTGCTTATCTTGCCTAACTGCCCTCAGCTCCTAGTTGTAGTTGTAGTAGTAGACATTCTTGTCTTATTTCTGATGTGAAAAGGTAAGTACTTCAGCCTGTCACCATTAAGAATGATGTTAGTTGCACGTTTTTGTAGATGTTCTTTATCAGGTTGAGGAAGTTCTTTCCAATCCTAGTTTGTTTGGTGTTTTGTCACGGAAGAGTGTTGGGTTTTTATCAAATGCTTTTACTGAAATAAATTACTTTTAAAAATGACCATTTTTCCTTTTTTTTTCTATCTGCAGAAATTGACTTGCATACCAAATGTGTGGTGGATGTAGATGCAAACAAGGTTATTCTCAATCCTGTAAATACTAATCTTTCCAAAGGAGATGCCCGGTAAGTTAAGAAACAGTGTTATGATCGATGGATTTTTAAATGACTGGAAACAACAGTGGCTGCCAAGTTAGTCCAGCCTAGCATATATTGAATGCTTACTAGGTAGAGATGTTATTGTCAAGTCAGAGATGAAGTCTACGACGTGAAATAACAGAGTGCCAGGATGAGTGTTGTAGTTAGTGGTAGTGTTAAAAGCTCAGGGAAGTGGGCTTAGGTTACATGGGGAGTAACTGAGGAAGGCTTCCCCAAGGTGATGGTACTGGCTGGAGGATTAGATAAGATGTGAGTGGGAAGAAGTGGAGTAGAAGGGAAGGCTTTTAGGCTGCTTGCTCCTTAGCTTGGTTGCTTTATTTCTTCCAGTTCGACTCTGTCAGAGCCCATTTTACATGCTGTCTCCTTCCTCAAGGCATTTCTGCACCCTCAGTGGTTCCTTTTCTCTAAATCCCCGTGAGCAGTAGTCTGTGCTACCTAATTTAATTATTGCATATTGTTTTGGATTGTTAATGATAGAGGTACAGTAGATTTCAAGGCCCTGGAAGGAAGGGACTTTGTCAGGGACTGAGGATGAATACCGGGGCATCATTTCTGGATTTGGGTGATAGTAGGAACAAGAGGGAGGAGGGCAAGATGGTGTAAAGTGAATTTGGGGAAGAAGGAAGACATTAATTTGGTTTTTAACCGTAAGTGCAAGGAAATTAATTTAATCAAAGAAACCGGGATCAGATTACAGAAGACCTTGAAAGAGGATAAGGAAATTTGGTCTGTGTTTTTATGGATAAGGTGGCATCTTTGACAGTTTTTGAATATGGTGAGTAAGGAGGTGGATTTGGAAAAGCTGTCAGTTAGCAATGTAGAGAACAGGTTGAGGTGGGAGAGACTGGCTCCTTAGAGGGATCCACCATATCAGAGATGTTCTGTACTGACCCTGGAGGTGGCGAGGAGAGCTAGGAGACCCTGCCTGCCATAGCACTTTGCATAAAGCAGATACCTCTTAAGTACTTATTGAGACATTGTTGTATCTGGAAACGCACACACAGGGCACTCCATAAGTGTTCTTCAGAGCTGGGTTGAACTGAGTTGACAGAGCACTGGACTTAGAGTCAGAAAGTCTGAAATCAAATCTTTACTCAACTACATTATTGCATTTAGTTTTTTTTTACTTTCCTGAGCTTCATTTCATCTGTATGTCGGCCTCACTATTTCATGGTGGTGTTTTCTGAAGATCATATTAGTCATGTGTAATGTGCTTTGTACAGTGTTCTGTAAGTGTTCAGGTTTATTGCTGTTGATGTAGAGGTTTTCCTGAAACAGCTCTAGGGTGTGGGTACTATCAGATGTGCTATTGTGAGGGTGTGAATGTTGTAGACGGTCAGAAATGATGCTGGATTTTGAGTCTGCTAATTGAATGACCTTTTGTCCTGAATTTTAATTGAACTCATTACTTTTGGAAGCTGCTTATTGCTTTTAGAACTTTCAATCTGGAGACCATTGCTTTATTTGGAAATGTGAGAATGCATCTCTGTACAAAGTTGGAGGCAATACCCTATCGTGGAAACAGTGTGGCCTTTATATATGGGCTGACTTGGATTCAGATTCTGGCTTTGCCACTTGTTAGCATGGTTACCTCCCAGTGTTCCTTATTTATAAAGTGCTTTAATTTTCTGCTGCTGTGTAAGCAATTCCACAAAAGCTTAGTGGCTTAAAACAAGAGCAGTGATTTATTGTCTCATGACCTCTGTGTGTCAGGAATTCAGGCAGGGCACAGCAGGAATGGCTTGTTCCGTGCTGCCTGGGGCCTACCTGGAAGGCTGGAAGGCTGGGGACTGGAACGGTCTGGAGAAGGCTCAGTCACCCAGGTCTGGTAATTGATGCTGCTTCTTGGTAATGGATGTAGCTGGGGCTGGGGGTGGAACACCTACTCACGCTCCGGTGGCAGGTTCCAAGGGCAGGTGTCCTGAGAGAGTGAGAAAGCCCGGTAGAAGCAGTATTGCCCTTTACGTTCTGACCTTAGGAGCCACACAGTGTCACTTGTGTCACATTTTCTTGCTGAAGGCGGGTCTAAAGCTTTACATGGTTTCAAGAAGAGGAATCAGACTCAGCTCTCAATAGAGGAACTTCAGTGTCACCTGAGAAAAGCGTTTGGGAAGGGATAAGTTTTGTTGTGGCTGTCTTTGGAAAACATAATCCGCCACAAGTGTGTGATAGTACCTATCTGATAAGGTTGTTGCGAGAGTGAAATCAGCACAGGGAAGCTCAGAAATACGTATTCTTTCCTTTTAAAATCTTCAAACTTCAGGGATTTGTGAAAGAATTAAATAGCACTTTTTGATTCCATAGGCTATTTGGATGTCTCTTTTTTTCCATATGCTGAAAATACGTACTGCGTATTGTTCAGTGCTATAGGGTGCTTGCTGTCTGATAAGAAATTTTTAAAAATGAAACTACCAATAAGGTTGTTGTGTAATGATTTTTGATGAAGTAAAGTTAAAAAGCACAGCTCTTAAAAAAGCAGCTTTTTATTTAAGTATGTAATATACATCCAGGAAAGTATATATAGCTTGATGAATTTTCATAAGCTTAAGTGGCATCCAGATAAAAAACAAGGACGTTACTAATATGACAAAAGATAACCTCATGTGAATTGCTTTTTCTTTTAACATATGAGGGTGAAAAGAGAAAATAGAAATTTTGGAATGTAGCAGTCCAGTGGTATATGTTGACTTCATTAAATTTGAGGAAAAATTGAACGGAAAGCACACATTAAAAGCTATTTTATATGATATGAGGGTAATTACAGTCTAGCTTGTAGAATGACTAATCCATAAAACAAGCTGTGGTTTACAGGAGCTGTATTTGTAATTAGAGAACCAGGAATTTGGAATTAATAATGTAAGTGATCGAGGCAGTTCAAATCACTAGTCAGAAAGGCTCAAATTAATATTTTTCCTTTAAAAGCTACTTATCCTTGCTTTTAGAATAATATTTAATTCTGTTAATCTAAAACGGACTAATTTTATATGTATACTTAACAACTCAAGTTAGTATATTTTGAAAGTAAACATACAAACATTTTAAAACAATGATTTGTATATTTTTCTGGTTAATTTTGCATTAACTTCTGAAAGCTTCATGATTTGATATTTGTGCTTTATTTAAACTGATAAAAGCCATGGTTGTTTGAATGGCTAAACCATTTCCAGTTTAACAGGCTAATCATGGTGAACATGATTTGAGGAACATTTTTACTGTACTGTATATGAAATTTCAAAGCTACCTATCTGATAAGGTTGTTGCGAGAGTGAAATCAGCACAGGGAAGCTCAGAAATACGTATTCTTTCCTTTTAAAATCTTCAAACTTCAGGGATTTGTGAAAGAATTAAATAGCACTTTTTGATTCCATAGGCTATTTGGATGTCCCTTTTTTTCCATATGCTGAAAATACGTACTGCGTATTGTTCAGTGCTATAGGGTGCTTGCTGTCTGATAAGAAATTTTTAAAAATGAAACTACCAATAAGGTTGTTGTGTAATGATTTTTGATGAAGTAAAGTTAAAAAGCACAGCTCTTAAAAAAGCAGCTTTTTATTTAAGTATGTAATATACATCCAGGAAAGTATATATAGCTTGATGAATTTTCATAAGCTTAAGTGGCATCCAGATAAAAAACAAGGACGTTACTAATATGACAAAAGATAACCTCATGTGAATTGCTTTTTCTTTTAACATATGAGGGTGAAAAGAGAAAATAGAAATTTTGGAATGTAGCAGTCCAGTGGTATATGTTGACTTCATTAAATTTGAGGAAAAATTGAACGGAAAGCACACATTAAAAGCTATTTTATATGATATGAGGGTAATTACAGTCTAGCTTGTAGAATGACTAATCCATAAAACAAGCTGTGGTTTACAGGAGCTGTATTTGTAATTAGAGAACCAGGAATTTGGAATTAATAATGTAAGTGATCGAGGCAGTTCAAATCACTAGTCAGAAAGGCTCAAATTAATATTTTTCCTTTAAAAGCTACTTATCCTTGCTTTTAGAATAATATTTAATTCTGTTAATCTAAAACGGACTAATTTTATATGTATACTTAACAACTCAAGTTAGTATATTTTGAAAGTAAACATACAAACATTTTAAAACAATGATTTGTATATTTTTCTGGTTAATTTTGCATTAACTTCTGAAAGCTTCATGATTTGATATTTGTGCTTTATTTAAACTGATAAAAGCCATGGTTGTTTGAATGGCTAAACCATTTCCAGTTTAACAGGCTAATCATGGTGAACATGATTTGAGGAACATTTTTACTGTACTGTATATGAAATTTCAAAGCTATTTTGAAAAATAAGATGCTTGAAATTCAGAAAATTAGTGACACCAGAGATTAAATTGCTAGCAAGTGATTAAGAGCGCTGATTTTGGAGACAGATATCTTGGATTGAATCTCAGCTCAACGATTTAACATGTACAATAACTTAAGAGGCAAGTTACTTAATTGCCCTCCGTCTCAGTTTATTCATCTGTAAAGGGGAGATTACTATAGAGGATTAAATGAGTTAAAATTTGTAAAATGGCAGTGCCTGGTGTACAATAAACCTTACATAAATGTTAGCTATTGCTTTGAGTAGTACTGTTATGGTTGTTACTGTGAGGTTGTAACCCATGGGATGTTTAATGAGCTATGAATTCATGAAGGAAAATTTTTTTTAAGATCAAAATATATTCAATTCAATACTTGCCAGTCAAGAAATTACCATGTTCTGTAAAAATCTCAGTTTTGCAAAGTCAGAAATTTTATTTGATCTAGTTTGCCCAAAGTTGATGGGGCTCCTAGGGACTAACATGCCATCTATTAGAGAGACAGGACCCCTAATTTTTTGTTTACAGTGAATAAAATATTAATCCCTGCCATCCAGCTTCTCCTCCTTAGTGTCAGCTTGGGAAACCAGATCAAAACATTGCTTGTGAACATAATGAAGGTATGTTTTATTCAATA